AGTTTCAAAGTAACTGTATAATCTTTCGTGAATCACCTTCTCAATTACTTTGGATATAACAGGTACTAACGCTATTGGTCTGTAACAGCCCATGTCATTTTTATCATTTTTTTTGAATAAGGGTTTAATAATAGTCTTTTTTAATATTTCTGGGAAGACACCCTGGTAAATGCAAATATTAATAACATGCCCGAGTACATGCGATATTTTATCAGAAACGTGTTTTAAGACTTTGGTAGTAATGTCATCATATCCTGTACTATTAGTCGATTTCAAGTTTGTAATTATTTTGTGTATTTCATTCTGTGTAACCCAACGATCCTCAAACTCCTAATCCCCAAAAGGCCGGTAACGCACTTGTAACGCCTCTGGTGTTCCAGGTGTCCATGGGCGACGCCGATTGCTTACCATCAGGTGATCCGTCTGCTCGTTTACCGGCTTATGCCATAAAAAAAAACAAGGTGTATACGTAGGTTAGTCACCAGATATTTTTCCTTAAAAATAGCCTTACGATAAAAATAGCCTTTTACTCATTTCTGACATATTTATAACTTACAGGTACCTATTGTTAAAGAGACAAAACATCGCCAGTAAAGAACTAGTTAGAATATAATAAGTAATTTAATTTTATGTTCAATGTTACGCATAATTCCCAACCACCATACTCATAAATGGGTCGTTAGGGCCTCATAAGGGAGCATTTATAAAACATAATACATATTAAGCTAGGTAACTATTATTGTGTGAGCGAGTTAAATATTACACTTCATGATAAAGGTACGGTCACTGAAAATTAATGGCTAGAGACCAAACTCAATCGCTTGTCGCTTACTTTATTAATGACCTCTGCCTTTACCTTCCGGAAATAAAAGATGTATGTGGTATTACAGAAATAGAACAAGCTACTTACTATCTTTTTTATGAAATTAGTATCCAAACGAGCAGACGGGTCACCTGATGGAGTCATAGGAGCGCTACCGGCCTTTTAAAAGGAATACACTCTTTTCTTGATGTTTTCAAGGTCGTCTCGGTTTGGAAATATTACCTTAACATGCTTTCTTGCCTAAAAACTCTTAGCTTTACTAACAATCCAAAGACGGCTAAACTGACTAAACTCTAACAATACCTTTCTTTAGAATGTTGTTAATACGAAAGTACTATGTAACTTTATACCTCAGAACAGTCGCGGAGAACCTAACGGGTAACCGGGGCTCCGGCTCGACGTGCAGGAGAAGGAACGGGGTGGCGGGTGGTTTTTAGTCAGTAAGAGTCTGACACTCCCTCCCGCCTCACCCAGGCGGGAGCAGTCATTCGATGATTTTCCCCCCTTAAAAAAAATACCTCAGAACAACCTATAACAACATAAATGAAAAGAATGGCCATTATTTTTGATCAAAAATTCAGAAACCAAGATAACACTCTGACATCTAATTACTCGTGTTTATTAACTGTTGTATATTTTACTGCATGCTAATGGACTAGATTTATACAAGTTATGTTTCCTCATAAAGCAAATGTTCCGTATAGTGAGCGCCCCACCGATCATTACTCGGGGAGGCGTTAATATAATTCCCCAAACTTTGATACAAAGCAACTTCGGAAGTCATGTTGTTGATTTCAAATTGTACATTCTCTGTTCCTAAGTCAGAGGGTGTTTTCAGACAAATTTTATAGTGTGGGAAGATGCTGTTTTAGAAAGTTAGAGTTAAAAGGTCACTATTATCTTGTTAACCATGATTGATGTATTTATTTAGGTTAAAAAAAATAACATTCTTTAGTTTTAAAAATGAATAGGTAAACATATAAATACATCTCACATTACTTTTTAAGATATAAAATAAACCCTTTTAACGTTCCTGTTCGATTTTCCTTTCATAAGGAAAAACAAAAAGTTCACTAACAGCTATTAGAATAAGGTTTTTTTTTTTCAAACCACAGATAGCATAGAGAAGAGCATATCACTACCCGCGTGGAAATTCCACGAAGTCTGTAAGCTTTGACTGTAGTATGTACCTTCATTTGAGGGTCCTCCAAGTCCGCTTCCGCGACAATAACGACCCTTGAACACGCCCTTAACGAAGACCCTTGAAAGTAGACCTTGAATAATTAATTCCCCAGAGAGAAAACCACGAATGTTGTCTGCGAATAATCTGTGTGTGTGTGTGAATGTGATATAAATAGTTCATGTTCCGTTTGTGTAGCATTATTTTTTTATTTTATAGTTTTTCTTTAGGGGAGGGGGGGAGAAATCATCGCATGAGACTGCTCCCGCCTGGGTGAGCCGGGAGGGAGTGTCAGACTCTTACTGACTTAGAACCACCCCGTTCCTTCTCCTGCACGTCGAGCCGTAGTCCCGGTAACCCGTTAGGTTTTCCGCGACAATTATTTTATAGTAGGAGTGTTTAAAATATGATTGCAATGGATTATCAATTATCTCACACATTTTTGTGCTATTGGAGAGCGAAGAGACAGGCTTATGTCCAGCACTGAATAGAAACGTGTTAATGATGATGACACACGTTTACAACCGGTAAGCACTGTACCGTCATTACAGTCAAAAGCCGAAAACGTAGATAATTATTATATTGGACAAAGTTTTACTCTTAGTCTTTTTTGTTGGTGGAAAATCATCAAATACTATAAGTATTACCATCTTGCCCTGAGTGAACTAAAAGATGCCATTCTAACTCCACCCCACATAGCAAGATAACAGGGTGCCTGCAAATGCTAATGCGACAGAGTTAAACATTCAAGAAACAGTCGTGTGTTATGTTTAACTGAAATAATTAAAACAAACACGCTGATTAACCCGAATCATTCGATTAAATTGTTTTTAACTCATATTTTATTCAAATAATTAAATATCTTGTGCTATTCCCGAACGAAACACAAATTGACAGTATTATTTATTTAGAGTCGCAACACTAGCAAGCTGGCATATGGCAACATCAGAAATAACGTCAACGTCAAAAACACGCGTGAATGTGTTTACAAAACGTGTGAATATTTTTCAAATTTCAATGATTTAAATCAAGGAAAGCTTTATATTTAATCAAAATGGATTTTATTATCGATACTGTCGGAGATGATGATCTCCAAGTGAGAACAGAATTAGTTGATGATGCGGAAAAACCATATTATAGAGGTTAGTTTATTTTTTATTTACCAAATGCAAGTTTTTCGTTAATATTGGATGATATTGACCCAAGCTTCGGTATATAAATATAATTCTGACAATTAATTCCTAATAAAAACTACTCGAACTCATGAAGTGCAACCGGCATAAGTATATCAATATTTTAAAACAAACTAACCATCAAAATTAATCCACAGACCATGAAGACAGACAGACAGCAATTTTATCTCTATTCGACACAAAGAAGCAAGAATTAGACACGAAACATGCAGCAGAGGAAGAAATCAATATGAAATTAAAGAGCATGAAGATTGACAATCTCTGTGATGAATTTTTCCAAGAAATGGGATGGTCACAGTCAATTATTATTAAAAAAGAGAAAAAGAAAATGTTATTCCACTTTGACCAGCTGGATTTGGAGACGGGTAAACTGAAGTCTAATCTCGGTGGTGTAGATGTTGAGAAAGAGATGAAGAGCAGTGTTCTGAAGCCAGGGTTTGAAAAAGACCATGAAATGCCCAGTTATGATGTTAGCAAGAACAAACTGAAGGCTATTAGAAGGGTATGTTTATTTCAAAATTCAAATTGATAATAATATGTTTAAGTTGTTAACATTGTAGTTGTTTCATACATTGATATATCATACCGAAAATATGTTCATACAAAATTAGTCTCTAAACAACGAAAATGACAGCTGTCACTAGTGACCACTCGGGGATTGAACAGTTAAATAGTATCAAGAATTATCTTTAAATTCTTAAATCAATTAAATTTAACCCATTGTGTGTTTAAATGTGGATCCATGTGAGACAATGTAGTTTCTATTGTGTCTTTATTTCATAATCTTTATCAAGTTGCTTGCTATATTGGAATAAATAACCAAACATATTTCAACCATTGTTTATAATTGCTTGCATAATACATAATAATTGCAATAATAATAAGACATTGTCTATAAATAATTACAGAAGGAACGAGAGAAGAACAAGGGACCCGGATGGTTTAACCTGCCAGCACCAGAAGTCACTGAGGAGCTGAAGAATGACCTGCAAGTCCTGAAGATGAGATCAGCTCTAGACCCCAAACACTTCTACAAAAAGAATGATATGGAAGTCCTGCCTAAGTACTTCCAGGTAAGTTTTTTAATGACTTTCCTATTAGTAACATAGTTTTAAATCACATTGACATTATTATATTCTCAAGGGTTGGAGAAGTCTTTTAAAATAGGCACCTAATATTAATAACCACTTTTTCCATTTATGTTGCTATATGTTGGACAAGACGTTCAAGACTAATAATTATACAAGTTTACTGATGGGGTGTTGTAGCTAGTTTCCATTCGAAACCATAACATAGTTATTAACAGAACTCTTTATTGAATCTGAAAGATCTATAACTCAATGGTAGAACTTACCACCATCTCAGGTATCAATAAATGTAAAATTTATTTCCAGGTGGGTCGCATCATGGATTCTGCACTAGACCATGTCAATGAGAGGTTGACGAAAAAGCAGAGGAAGAGGACTATGGTTGATGAACTCCTAGCAGATGCTGAGTTCCAGAAGTACAACAAAAAGAAATACAAAGAAATTGTTGATGAAAAGAGAAAGACAGAGTATAGAACTTTCATGAGAGATAAGAGACAGAAGAATAAAGCTGAACTAAAGAAGAATAAGTTAAAAAGTAAGAAGAAAGCATAGTTAATAAATTGTTAATTTAGATTAGAATTGACTTTTTATTTGTGTAAACTGTGTCATTATTTATAGTGGCAACACAGACACACAGGAAAAGCGCGGGAAATAAGTGTGACTGGCACAAAATATTATACAAAATTAAGGTCTTAATTAAAATAAAATATCATAAGTAACAACATTCAACCCTTTATTTAAACTAAATGGTTTTAGTGTAACAATTATAGTAAAATTCGAAGTATATGGAAAATATCACAGGTGTTGAAGACACATTTGTTGCATTTTTACACTATTACATACTATACTGACAGTTGATAATACTGTATGTATTATCAAACTTCAAGAATTTGTAAATGTCTGCTAAAAATATTATATAACATTTTTCAATTGAAATAATCTAAAGACTAGAAGTACATTTTATTGTTTATAGAGAAAAATATAACAAACTGTATACATACATGCACATAATTCTATCATTAACAATTTATTTTATGCAAAAATGAATCATGGTAATCAATTGTACCCTTAAAAGACTAATTTAACTCGTCGAGTACCGGTTTTGTAGACACAATTATAGAACAATAGGTTGCGGTCACCGGTGACCGCTTGGTGTTTGACAGTTTAACATTTTTATTGTGCATTATCAGTAGAGTTTCAAACTTTGCAGTGCATTGTACTGGACTATTACAACATCAAGTACCTCTTATGCATACGGCTATTTTGTATTTTCGTCTGTAGATACACACCAATTAATATAACTAAGTACTCTCTTACCCAAAATAATCCCTCGCAATAACTGAATTAAAATAAAATATTTTAAGTATCTAGTGTTTTGTTGAAAACTATGGAAGTCTAGACATTTTGGCTGACAAGGTTTTGGCTAACTAGTATCCACCGGTAACGTCGATTGATGCTCCTGTCATAAATGAGCTCTTGTCCGAACTCAAGAAGGCAATCACTTCCGCTAGTTCTGAAAATAAAAAGTCCACAATAGTTATATGCAGGTAATATGACTTTATGGACTTGAAGCTGTCGATGAATCCTTTACGTTAAATGTCAAACTATGATCTAATACCTTTACAAGCAGTTCTTGTATATATGTATCAACAATATCGGAAACAACTCGGGGTTTCGGGGGCAATAAATCAATCTAGGTATCATAATAGCTAGGTATCATTTTCAGAAAATGTTGTTTACTAAAAACTATGTGATAATAAAGTTTATATAACTATAACAAGAAAATTTAATGTTAAACAGCATGTTTTGGGTTCAATTACTACTATAAGTAAAGTAAGCCATTTTACAGTAATTAGTCTGGTTTATTCCCTGTGGATGATGTACCCAACATCAGTGATTAAGTCTCATGGGCAATTTAATGATATAACTATTTAAGTTGTACATTATGGGCCGACGTTTGACCACTATCTCGCCTGGTGGTAAGCGATGATGTGGTCTACGGTGGAGCATATTGTCCCATAAGCAATCTATTCACTCGGGCTTTGAAGATGGTGCAAGAGTTGTAAGTTGTATTTTAATATTGCTTTACTTACCAGTAGGAGACCCAAGTCGTCCCAAAGGTACTTGCTTCATGATTCCTTGTATGACCTTCTCAGGAACAGTCTTAACCATTGGAGTTTCTATGAAGCCTGGTAGTATCGCGTTTACTCTGAAATCAATGTTAATTACCTACTATTTTAGGAACTTAGTGGATAGTAAAAGAAGAAGACATCATTTATCCTCGAAAGGGTAGACAGAGGTGCACATTACGGCACTTAGCCAGTGTACAATATAACGCCCACTGCCAGTGGTGAGCCTATTGCCATATACTGGGCACAATACCTAACTGAGACTTTTAAAAAAAAATCCTATTGTGTTGATAAATGTATTTGTCAATTAAATGGCCATGACCGGCTTTAGTGAAAGACTAGCCTTCAACGGTATTTTAGTGGCAGTAAGACTTAATTGGGTGCTTATTTAGCCTTACCTAATGTTGAATTTTCCTAATTCTTGAGCTGCAGATTGTGTCATGCCGATAACACCAGCTTTACTTGCTGCGTAATTGGTTTGACCTGAAAGAAAATATTAATTATTTTTTTATTTACAGTTACTTATTAACCAAATTAAATGAAAGTATCTTTGTTATTTTATTTTATAAGTCTACGAACCCATATTCCCATATTTGCCTACAATACTGGAAAGATTTACAATCGAGCCTGGTAGTCCTGCTTCTGACATCGCCTTTGAAAACGTTTGCATTACTAGAAAAGTGCCCTGAAAACAAAAAAAAATGTTTCAGTTATAATTCTACGATTATCTAAGATCTGTTAATGAAGGGACTTAATCAGAACAAAAAAAATTACCTACGTCTTTATTCGAAGTTTAAAAACAACTAACATCCAACTATTTCAAGCTAGCTTTTGCTATCTGCATCACCACACAGATGCGGATAGCAAAAGGTAATTTAGGTGTATGGACACCGCCTTGGGCGGCGGTGATCGCTTACCATCAGGTGACCTGTTCTCTCCTTTGCCTCCTATTCCATAAAAAAAAAAGTTTACCTTCAAATTAGTATTTAGCACACTATCATAATCCTCCTCAGACAGTTTCAGCAGCCAGTTGTCTCTAGTGATACCAGCAGAGTTCACTACTATTGTCGGAGGTGCCTTATATTGCTGCAATATAGTTGTTAACAGGTTTCTCACTGCTGTTGAATTGGAGACATCGAGTTCCACTGCCATGTGGTCTGCATCTGTAATAGCCATAATGGAGCAGGATATTAATTATGTTTTTCATCTTGCGTAACTGATTGACGAGAAACTCAACTCGGCACTTGAAAAAAAAATTAAGTGATACTTATTGATATATGGTTACCTAAGTGGTTGGAAATGAGAATTGGTCAGTAGTTTCTATATTGAATAGAAGACTAGGTATAATAGATATTGCCTACCATTTTTGCCAGAAGCTAAAGCTGTGTGAGTTTTAATGGTTTCCATGGCTGCTTCATAGTTCTTGTCAGCTGCCACAACTATGGCACCCTCTCTGGATAAAACCTGGCATGCTGCTCTACCTATACCGGATCCAGCACCTGTTGAAAAAAATTCATTGCAAAGCATCTACAAATTGGGAAAAAGGAGGTTTGATATCATTGCAACCAGTTTTTTAATATTCTGTGTGTCGTAATAAGTACCGTTACGCTTGTGACCGCTATCTGTAGAACATTCAAGGTATTGGAGGTCGTGATTATTTTTATTAGGTAATTGATAAGACAACTAGGTAACAAAATAACTAAGATCAAGTAAATAAATGCTCTAACAACATCCCGGTTATTCCCGCTCGTCACCCCAAGCTTTGTCCCCTCCGGTGACAAGTGGGAATTATATTGAAAAAAAATCCCATATGTCACCCCCAGGTGACGAATGGGATTCCACTTAGAAATCATCCCAGTCGTCACCGCTAATAAAAGCTTGCTAAAACCATAGTTTTACATTGCGAATGGAAATTTGTTTTTGAACTAAATAATACAATAAAATTAGACAGCCAAAACTTTTTATTTGCTTTTATTTTCAAAATCAGGTTCTAAACGTTTTACATTCAACACAAAAGTATTAACAACAGTCTTTGCATATTATCACAAATCAACACAATTTACATAATTGACTAGGCTACATTCATTGGTTCAGTTTGAAAGTAATCACCATAGCGTTACAAAATATAAAAAAAA